AATAGGTTAATTGGGGTAGGATTACGTGTAAAAATTTGTAAATTTTTAATAATGCATTAAATTTTAAATAAATAAACATGATTTCAAGGCCTCACTTTAGCAAAAAAAAAAAAAAATATATTTAATTTATTTGAATATTAATAAGTCACGTTATTCGTATTAATCATTCCTTTTAAGGAAAGATTAACTCAGGATTTCCTCATATAGGTATAAATCACATGGGGAACGTTTAGAACTCGGTTCTGGAACCGGTTCGCGGTTTCGGTTCAGAACCGGTTCCCTAGTGGAACCGCCCCATCCCTAATAAGCAATTAATGATTATAAATGATCTGCACCGTAGCACACCTACTTTAAAAACATTGTTACACAGTTGTAAACGGTTTGTAAAAAAGGGGTGCTATCTTTCGGATGTTAAATTTTGTAAATTATTTCTAATTGTGGAGTGAATTAGATTCGTGAGGCAATTACGTGCTGTAATTACGTATACACACCTACAGTTTTATTTTATGCAATTTTTTTTTTATATTAATATCTATCATATTCATTCATTGTTTGTCCGTTTATTCATTATTTACATAATAATAATAATAATAATATTTAATTTAATTTATTTGAATATTAATAAGTCACGTTATTCGTATTAATCCTTCCTTTTAAGGAAAGATTAACTCAGGATTTCCTCATATAGGTATAAATCACATGGGGAACGGTTAGAACTCGGTTCTGGAACCGGTTCGCGGTTTCGGTTCAGAACCGGTTCCCTAGTGGAACCGCCCCATCCCTAATAAGCAATTAATGATTATAAATGATCTGCACCGTAGCACACCTACTTTAAAAACATTGTTACACAGTTGTAAACGGTTTGTAAAAAAGGGGTGCTATCTTTCGGATGTTAAATTTTGTAAATTATTTCTAATTGTGGAGTGAATTAGATTCGTGAGGCAATTACGTGCTGTAATTACGTATACACACCTACATGTAAATATTAAAAAAAAATGTAGTTTAGATTGGTTGTTTTTATGGTTATATAATATAAATATATATCCATTTGTTTTTTAAATATTTATAAAATGTCTGAAAACATCGATCAATTCCGTTTTTTAACAAACACTTCTTTTGAAGAAGCACGAGATTATTTAATAGTATTTTATCAGCTTTCTTTTTATTTATTTTGTAAAGATAAAAAACGCTTATAATAATTTTTTGTTTTATATAATGGATTCAAATAAAAGCTTACAGAGGGCAATATAGAACAAGCTGTTACTCTTTTTTACGAAGGTGACATTCGAGCACCACTACAATCATCATCACGTCTAACTTCTACTTCTTCTAACAATGAAAACAACAACACTACGATAAAAGAAAAGGCAGGAACAACATCACAAAATACAAAAGAAACAACAATTCATACCGTCGATGTTGATGAAAACACCACAACAACAGTTACTACTATCGATGATGATGAGTTTTATGAGACTGATGAGTTTTATGAGGTTGATGAGATCGATGGGATTGATGAGATTGATGGGACTGATGAGATTGATGAAAGCATTACCACCACAATACCAAATACAGCCACAACTACTAATAGCTTTAAAACTGTTCTTGATGTAGATGATAGCATGGATTTAGATAAGAAAGATGACAAGATTAATAAAGCTTCTCAAATCAATGCAGATGAAGAATTGGCTAGAAGGATTCATCAACAAGAAGAAAGTACAGCAGCAGTTCGTCCACCTATCCAACCTAAGAGCGATATACTAATTGGTACTGATACTGGTGGCGAGAACCGTGATTCTTATTCAAGTATGATAGATCTATATTGCTATTATATATACAAACTTATTTGTATAAAAAATATATGTCTGTATGTTTATATGCACAATTTTCAATGTCGTTGGACTCTTTTTCTTTCTTTTTTTTTTTATCAGCAAATGCTCGGCGCTTACGTGAACAGCAGCATAAAACTTTTGCTGGAGAGGTCCGTCCTCATCATCATGGTATGTGTATATATATATTATATATTAATAATAGGGTATATCTTTATAAATTTGACTAATTAACAAAACCAATTATTCCATCAATCAATTAATTAATTTGCCATTAATCAAAATCAATCAACGTGATTCAATAACCAAATCATTAATTTTAACCAAACTACTAATTCATCATGATCATATAATTAACAATTGATAATAGCGACTAATAAGGTTGATAGATTAGTTAAATTGTATAGTCCTCCATTTGATATTATGAGTACAGAGGGTTTTGATAAGGTAATCAATCAACCAACCAATCAATCTGAATAATTGATTTAACAAGTTGAGTTAATAAATTGTAATCTTTACTATGTACATGTATATGAACAATCACGGTGATGTTAAAATGATGATTACAGACACGTAACAAGGCAAAATCAACAGGAAAATGGATAATGATTAATATTCAAAACATAGAAGAATTTTCTTCTCAATTGCTTAATTGTAATCTATGGAGTAATGAAACTGTCAAAGATGTTATTAAAGCAGATTTTTGTTTCCTTCAGGTAGTTATGAATAAATTAATAGTAGTATAATTATTATTAAAATTGTAAATGATTAAATATAATCTTAAAAAATTTCAGTTCAATTCAGATAGTTCAGAAGGTTCTAAATATATAAACTTTTACCCTGTTTATAAATATCCACATATTGCTGTGATTGATCCAAGAACAGGTTTGCTTACAATTATTTATTATCTATTATAAAAATTTTAAATGATTTTAATCAAAAAAAATAAAAACAGGAGAACGATTGAAAGTTTGGGATTCTCAACTCGAACCAACAGAATTCTTAATTACTGGTATGAATATTTCTTCTTCCCGTTGACATTATATATATATATTAATAATTATTCATATTATGAATAAAGTGACGGATTTTTTGGAAAAATATTCATTAGAAGAAGAACCAAATCATTCAGAATCTTCAAAAAAAAATAAAACTTCAGATGTAACCAATTTAATTATTATTAATCACCTTTTTTTAAGATTTATAATTAATAATTAATATATATACTCCATAAATTTAAAGGAAACTTCAGCAATGTCTGTAGATAATCAAACAAAAGCAGAACCACAAATTTCAAATGATACTAATAATATTATTAATGACAATAATATTAAAGAGGAAAAAGAAATCCACAAAGTTCATCCGGTTTTTGAAGGTAATTTGATTATCTATTTAATTTTATAAATAATATTAAATTATATGATCGTTAAATATTACAATATTTTTAATATGTAGAAATTCCATATAAATCTATATTTGATTCCATCAAACCAATTGAGAGGCCAGATCAAACAGGACCAAAATCTACAAGTATAAAATTTCGATTGGAAGGTAAGTTGTTATTATTATTATTACTGCTGCTTGCTTCTAATGCTAGCTGATTGATTTATTTAACTGGGAATAGATCGACATGTTATTAAAAAATTTAATAAAAAAGACTCGGCACGATATATGTTTGAATATTTAAAAGCGTCAGTTCCTGAACTTGAAGATAAATTTTTTGAGGTAAAATAAATATTTAATATAAATAGCATTTTTTTAAACAGTTACAATAATTATATTTTTTCTATATCTTATAGTTAAATTATTTAAGGAATAACTTGATTGAAAAAATTGACGAAACAATTGAAGAAGCGGGACTAATTAATGCTGCTATAAATGTAGTTTTAGGATGATGAATAAAACTGATATTGTGGACAATTTTATTTTATTTGTTTATTACTAATACATACATGAATATATGCATATATGCGTATATTGACTCTGGCTGTTTGTTTATAATAATTTCTTTACATTAAAAATGAGACGATAATGTTAATTAATATTAATATAATATTCGTTGTTGTTAAATTTTATTGTATATATCATTAATTTATTACACTTCTTTACCTATTTACCAACTAATATATTCGAATCATTATCCTACTACTTGTACTGTTATTAACAAACAATGTCATTTTAGATAGAAAATTTAGAAGAAACTCCAGTTTGTTCTTCATTATCATTATCATTATCATTATCATTATCATCTTCATCTTCATCTTTTTCTTATCTAAATAAACTACGAATAATACGATAGGAAATTGAATTCGCTTGCGAACAAAGTCATAAGGCAGCCATTATTGCAAATCAGAATCAGTGAGGAGTTTCTTTTCGACATGAGAATATTAATTATATTCTTATCGCTGGACTATATTTGATTGAACTTTAATTTATTATATAATATGTATATTGAAACTTTGGCAAGAAATTTGTTGGTAGAAGAGAAAGACAATAAAATTCCTTTAACTAGAAATAGAACAGAAATTTGAAAGAGAAAATCCCTTCTAGATAGAACTTTGAGTATAAATGGGTCATCACGACTTGTGTCAATGGGGCCTTTAATGCTCTGTCACATGATTTAGATGAGTGTCTGATAATGTTTTTTGATGCTTTCCCAAGGTTATTAATCACGCAAATTTGTATTAGTATTGGCTCCATTGAAATCACGTGAAAATTTTCACCAATAAAATATGAAGAAACCAGACTATTCAAATTAAAAATTGTCGCGTAGATAATTTTATTCCAAGAATGAAAATTTACTAAAGAGTGGTAGTTGTATCCGTCGATTATCCGGATAATCGGTCATTCACCGAATATCCGTTGAATATTCATCGATTTAAATTTATTTAATATATAATACAAAAAATATAACAATTATTTATTCATCAGGAAAAATATTTTCAATACATTACATATTTTTTAAGAAATACAATCTTCTTAAATAACAATGGGTTCAATTTTGTTCATTTGGCTGTCATTGTGTTTCCAGCTTCACTAAATAGACGCTCACTTAGGGCAGAAGTTGCTGCAATGTATAAATATTTTTTAGCCAATAATGGCACAGTTGGGTATTCATATTACTTGATATATTGTATTATAATGGAAAAAAAGTTGATGATAGTGTATTAGTGGATAAGATAGTATTTAAAAAATTTCGGATAAAAATGTTATTATTATTATTATTATTCACCAATTATCCTGGTGTGTGTGAGTGAGTGTTTAAAATCAACTCGCTTTTTGCAAATAACTTGGCTTAAAGAAACGGACGAGAAATTTAAAATACTTCTATTCCAAATTCCCGAGATGTTTACTTACTACGACGTGGTGAATTGAACCCAAAAATCCACTCTGATGTGAATTCTACATTTCCTCGATTAAAGTATCTTCCATATACTGTTATGAATTAATATTAAGTGAATTGCATTCACATTGTAGTTATAATAATAATAAAATAAGAATGAGTCATGAAATTATAATCACCACTGCTTACTGATATTGTAGATTTAACCGAAAAAAAACTTTTATTTGTTTTATTTATTGAAATCTGGTCTAATTGCAAAAATCGAATATGTTGCTTGAAACAATAACAGATCAAACCCCAAAACCATTCACCGGTACAGCCTGATCCACCCAATTTATTTTATTTGCTGTCAATTTTTCCACCTTCGTTCACCACACTATTGTCATTTTAGTATGTTCAATTGCAAATGCATAGAATTATTATTATTAATTATTCACGCGTGTATATATTACTTGAATAAAAAACAAATCTTGAAAAATAAAAAATCGAAAAAAAAAGTCATCGTCACCAAATTATTCACCGTGGTGCTAATAAAAGGATTTAGCATTATTTTCATCACCTTTAAATCTCACAAAACCTGTACCTAAACCTGTCTTATGTACTATGTAAAAGTCATTTTACGTACCAATATTGACCAGCTTATGTATGTTTCAAACCCAGACACTAAAGTCAACTGAAGCGTGTTTTTATTTTATTGTGTATTTGTTATTACGAATAGTTAACTTCAAAGACAAAAAACGAAAATCCGGGTAAAGTTTTTTTGGACGGGTCCAATCTCTATCAAAGATATAAAGGTCCTTGTAGGAAAGCAATCAATAATTTGGTTTTGCCATTAAACATAAAATCGATTGTGAAAAATTAATCATTTTATAATCCTGCTGATTTAATTCTTCTAAATGGATGATTAAAAACAGGATCAATTCAAGTAATGTTCTCAAATTATGAAAATATCATAGAGAGCTACCAAATCACCAACTATAAACTATATAGTTCTTTAAGGAACTGGGAAGAAGATGGATTATTAAGCAAAACTTGGAACCAAAAGAAAGTGAGGATTTAAAGAAATATTGATGATGCAAATTAAAGATTGGATCATTCAACAATCAAATGAAATAGAAATTTAAAAGGGCATCAGCCCAAATGTTCTCGTTTACAAATAGAAAAGAGAAACAAAGCTATTGAACACCACCACAAAAATATAAAACAAAATAATAATCCAAAATAGTGTGATTTCCAAAACTATTTTGAAGCAAAAGTTAAAACTAAAATTAAAAAGTTATATATCAAAACTAAATTAGTTTCGCACGGTTAGTTGGTAAAGTATTTATAGTTTGAGTTCGCTTTTGCTAATTTCTCCAGTTTGGGCTTGAATGGCTTCTAGTTTTTGGTAGAGGTTAGACTTAATGCGTAAAACTTGCAATTTTTATTTCGACCATAAAATTTTTGAAAAGAACGAACAGCAAAATGTAATTAATTAATTTACAGCCCCAAAAAAGAATCGGTGACAATGGAATGCCAATGAAAAATTTTACTTTGAACGGAAAGAAAATTAAACAACAATAATAGTAAATTTATTATCAATGTTTAAATATAACCAATAGAATTACCTTCCGTCTAATCACATGATATTGAATTTCAAATTTCCATCTTTGATTGTTGATTGTGTAACAGATATTATTTAAATAAATTTTTGTAAATGGTTGATTTAACTTCAGAATTTCGTAAATTAATTATAGATCTTTCAAAAACAACCACTTCGACTAGTGGAAGAAACAAAAAAAATCATGAGAATGCAACAGCATCAATACTATTACCAATACCTGCTAAAAAAAAAGTCATGAGAGATGAATATTTAAAGGAAGCTTATAGAATTGTAAGATAAATTTTTTTTAAAGCAATGATATTTTATTTATCTTGAAATTAAAAAAATAAATGAATTTTACACCTTATATAATACTAATTTAACAGGTTTCTCATATCAACAATTTAAAACATTTTCTTTTATCAGTCCGTAAAGCTTATTTGAATATATCAACAAAACCTTCGAAAACTAGTGGTAGTAGAAAGAATAGCAGTATCAGTAGCAGCAACAACAATAATGAAGACAATTTATTAATAAATAAATTTGATCTTTCAGTCACATCTCTGACTAACATAGAGAGAGATGAAATTGATTTACAAGCAAAAATAATCATTCAACAATGTTTAGACAGAATTAAAAAATTGCAAGAAATAGAAAAAGGTATTTAAAAATAAAATAAAAATATACAAAAGTTGATTTTATTACGTTAAATTGAATTAATTAAATTATCTTTCTCTCTTAATAATAGAAAGACAAAATTCAATTACATATAGTACTTGGTCAAAATTACTATTTGTAACTTCCATGAATGACGAGCATGAAGTTTTAGCAGCAATTCATAGTAGTATTGCATGGTATTTGAATAAGCGGTTAACAGAAGTGTCTAAAATACAAAAAGATCAACAGGAAGCCAGAATGATTAAAGAGATGGAAAGACGTGAGAGGTATCAATTTATTAAGAAATTATTTGATAGATTTATTGACAATTATAATAAAGTAATTGATGGATCATTAATCAATAATATTTATAAATAAATTAGTACATTATACAAGTCAGCTGCTAAATTGTCGCTTCTAAACAATAATCCTGAATCTCTTCAGTCGAAAATAAATGAAGAAAGAGGAGACTCGCCATCAAGAACAGACAGTGAAATAGACGGGAGTTTGACAGAAAATGATGAAAAAGGTGATGATGACGACGACATTGATCATCATTTGTCAGCAGAACAAAAAATGGTATTAGAAATGGAAAATGAATCCATCATGAAAGAATTGGAAACTTCTTTACAACAAGTCAAGTAAGGATATTAATGATTAATGATTAATGATTAATGATTATTTGATTTATTTATTGAAGTTTCTTAATTTTGAATTTATTAAATTTTTTAGTCAAGCAGAAAAGGCATTATTGGAAATTTCAAATTTACAAACAATACTATCTAATCATTTAACAGTACAAACTCAACAAACAGATAGGTTATATGCAGAAGCAATTGCCACAACAGACAGAGTGCAGGAAGGCAATTTAATGTTGATAAAGGCAAGAGAAAGAGCTTCAGATACAAGAAAATGGATATTAGTATTTTTAATATTAGCTAGTTTTATTTTATTCTTTTTAGATTGGTATGATTAGAAGAAGTTTGTTTTTAAATTTTTATTAATAATAGTATCTTTAACATTCTTTATAATACTAATACGGATAATGCCAATAATAATTATTAACAAAAATATAGATTGTTTTTTTAATCAAATGTATATGTATATATTACATAAAATCAACTTTTTTTTTTTTAATACAGATTCTGTAAATGCAAAAGAACAGAATTAAATAATAAAGGAAATATTACAACAAATATAATTTACATATATAAAATATTTATATGATATTTAATTTTATACAGCAGAAGCTGTCTCTACACCTTCACCACCTCCAGCTTTCTTTTTCTTATCTTTCTTTTTACTTGGTTTTAAATTAGCAGCTAACAATTTTAAAATTTCCTCGCTATCTATTTTCTTATCACTTTTCACTACTTCTGGATTGAATAAAGTGTTTGTGATCTTGATTGATCCATTTTTTGTCAAGAGAACAGTATTGAAAAACTGTGCAACAAAATCACCTATATAATAAAAACTCAATTTTATTAGTTATTTATTAGCTTGTGAAATAATTTCTTACTGTCCACTTTTACCATTACTTTTAATCCTTTTCTTAATACCAATCATATTTATTATACTAACCTTCTTTATCCTGGTAAACTTCGTATGGTGTCACTAATGAATGATTAGAACATTCAAGTATTCCCATTCTAGCTTTCTTTTCATCTTCTAATGCTCTCAAAGGAAATGGGAAAGGACCAAATTTTTGACTTATTTCATTGAAAATTAAACGGGCTGTTTTCATCTTTAGTGAATAGTTGTTTTCAGTTTTTTTATAAACAGTTGTACGTTTATTTGATGGCTTTCGCTAAAAAATAAAAAAAGGTAAGCAGGTATGAAGTTATTAATTCTTATTATAATCTTACGAACCTTTCCTTCACCAGTTGAAATTAATATATCTACACCATAAACTTCATTCTCACTGAATTCAACAACTTCATGAACTCGCTTTTGAGCATCACTAGGATGAAGAATTATTTGTTTTTTTCCTTCAATGATATTCTTTTCTTGTTGATACGATAACATTCCTACGCACATAAATAAAATCATAATAATTATAAAATTATTTATTCAAAATATTATAATAATCTTTATTTTAACAACAAAAAAAAAAATAAAATAGATATTATGTATATATACCTTCTACAGAATTTGTGCCGTATGCTTTTGCAATTTTCTGTATTGTCTCGGTAACTTTAATATTACTTAAACCTGGTTTTATTAATCTCAAAGCAGCTTCTGATGCCAAATGTGCAGCCATTAAAACATCAGCCAGTCTTCCTACTACTGGCTTTTCTTTGGTTGCTCCAACAACAAAAGTACTAGCAACTATAGCAGCAAATCCATCAACTTGAGCTCCTAATTGAATTTTAACCAAATCTTCATTCTTTAAAACCTCTGAACCTTCCGGATCCGATGGTAATGGTGAAAAATGACAAATAATGTGGTTTACTGACACACACGTTGGAAATGCAATTCCTTAAAATTACCAAGCCAAACAAATAATTCATTAAAAAAAAATAATTTAATTAATTAATAATCAGTCAGTTGATTTACCTTTTGTAATATGTTTGGTTTTAGAAAAAAGTACTTTAACACCATCATCAATCAATTTATCACCCATTGCACACAGATCTATAATCCTTGCACCATCAACAGCCGATTCGATCATTTTTTTAAGCACGCCTATATTAAAAATAATTAAATAATTAAAAAAATAGAGATCTGCGTCATTTCTCCTCCTTTCACTCTCTCGATCAAAACATCAAATATTTAAAAAAAATCTGCATTATTTTATTGTTGGTAATGGTGGTAATTTTACTATTAGCATCGATCATTGAATATTTAATTGAAACTTTATGAATAATCGCTACTAATGCTGATAAAATTACAAGTTGTGAAAAACACGCTTTTTTAAAAAAACCACTAAACACGTACGATTTGAAACCTCCGCCGCCATTTGATATTTATTAACAACCTCCGTGCTTTCAACAGTTTGAACGACTTTAGTTTCTTCGCTCATTTTTTGAAAATTAATATTATTTCTAGAAACTATATACTTTTTTGTGGTGTATGCATATGAAGATTTGAAAATGGTGATATATTTCCCAAAAAAGGTAACTCTGTTTCCTTTATAGGTAAGACATCCACGTTTCTCAGCATAAGACTGCTAATTTTATTCCCTATTGTCGATCATGTATATAACAAAAAAAATATTTTTTTGTTTTAAAGGAAACAGGTTTTATGAAAAAAAAATTGTTATTATGTAGTTGTGTTAAAATAAATGGATCAATACTAATTATTTTGGGCAGTCAGCTAAGTATTTTAATTAAAATTACTATTCACTGTTATTATTGCCTAATTGTTCATTACCACTATCATTACTCCAATTATTGTTGTATTATTATTACTACTACTAAAACACTTTTGAGCAAAATTAATTTTTTATGGGCCCAACTGTTTTTTATTAATAGCCAAAATTGGATGAAATTATTTTAGGTTAAAAACGGTTGATTTATATAGTTTTTCATCTTCATTCTTATAAAAAATATTGATAAGTCCACCCAAACTATTGTCAAAGCTACTTTTTTTTCAAAAATAATCTAGACCAGAAACCTTATTACTAATAATTGACTGTCACCATTATTATAACTACTATTATTATTAACCGATGGTTTGCCATTATTAACAAATCATTGTTACCATTAATTCCTATATCTAATTTTATTCTACTATGAATATTAGAACTAACTGTTTTTTAAGTAATTATTAGTGGCATACAAATAAATACAATTTGTAGAGATTTTACTAACTGAAGTCAATTACTAACCAGCTAACCTGTTTGATATTCTCTTGACCAGCTAATATACTATTTACAAGAATCCATTATCAGCTGGAATCATTAATTTGGGGATAAATTTGATAACATATAAAAAAATAGCAAATGCCTTTTCATTGTTATTTACAGTTTGATAAATTAATAATTTTTTTAAAAAATGAATTGAAAGAATCCCTTTCCCTTTCTAATTATTATTATAGATTACAAATTTTGTTTTGTCTTTTTTGTTAATGTAATCAAAAACTTGAGCTTATCTTTGTCAATAAAAAGTTTTTTTAAAAAATAATTCACTCAGACATCTAAATGCTTTCCCTTTTAAAATCTCCCATTTGGAAATAAATAAATCAAAAAAGTTGCCATAAATATTCTCTTTAATTAAAAAATTAAGTCATAATAAAATGCCCAACCTTATTTTGCCATCATAAATTACTGATCGAAATTCACCCTCAAAGTCCTGAAAGGACATGCCCATATGTCTGAAATCAAGTGATCGAGTAAGATATTTTTTCTAGAAACATAACAAGTAAGTTCTTTTTATGGATTATTGATCTGACATTTTCTTAACTTTTACTTCATTATAAAACTAGTAATATGAATTAATTAATACAATAGAACCTCGAAATCCAGATTCACTGATAAAAATACTTGGAAGACTAAATTCTTGTTGATAAAATGACTGAATTAGATTTTCATCTACTATATAAGAAATCTGTGAGAAGAAAGTGGTGTTTCCATCTCCATTATGTACAAAAAAGAATAAAGAGATGAAGGATGGTGATAAAGAAGAGTTAATGGTAATAAAAAATAGTTATAGATTTTACCAGAGCAACTAAAATAAATGGCTGTTTTTTATCTTATATTTTATATAGCAATGATTATAATTTAAGTAGAGGTAGGAATAGTAGAGATGAATTGGCTAAAAGTTCAATAATTTAGTTAATATACCCAAGTTGATGTATATATTATCACAACTAATGTAATAATAATTTGAAATAAATATAAAGTCATTATTTCATTAACGTAGCATGCACATGTAGTAAAATATCATGCAATAAATACAAAACCTTTATTGGATTTTTGGTAATACAGTAATTATTCAAGAAAAAAATTTATATAAGTTAGCCAGATGAGATTTTTAACGGCTGATATCACTAAAATTAATTATGTCTTTACATTATTATTGCTCGCTTTTTTTATCACAATAGAATAGTAGAATATTTCATAGTTATTAAATGTGACATAAATATTAAAGATGGAAAAACTGCTCTTAAACAATTCGAAAACACCAAAAACGATATTGGAATTACAGATATTGAAAAATATTTTGAGGCTCAAATATTTAAAAAATTGCAGTATTCTCTGGTGTCAAAAAGGCTACTTTAGCTATCACCTTCCGAAGATATGATCATGCAATTTAAATTTCAATGGGAGAGGACTGTGACTCTGAAGTTTAGCAGAAAATTGCATCATTGTCAAAGAGACTGTCTTTTAAAGATTCTTTATGTCTGAAGCCTCCAAATTTACAGCGCCCATTCTATATAGTGTGTTTACGTTTTGTAACACAGCTTGCTTTTTGTTAATGATAATATTTCTATCAAATGAGAAAGTTCTCATGAGAACGTCCATGGAGACAAGTTCAGAGAAAAATGAACTAGACCCTACAAGATTTCCAATTATGGAATAATGAGTATATAAATTACGGGAAAAAAGTTCGCCAAGAGTTCTGTCTACACCTAAACTTAATATGTTAGATTTAGTGTGGTCAAAGCAAAAGAAGAATGAGTTTATATCTTTGATTAACTAAAAAATATGATCACGTTATTGAGGCACTTTGTGTCCTCAAATTTTGGTTTATTAATATGTTGCTGACATGTGATAAATATATAAATTATTCAATTAATGGATGACATTTAAATGTTTCTCCATTTAAACTAGCCTTGGCCTCTTTATAAAAATTTTCCAATTTATTATCTAGCAATACATTTACACCTTTAGCACCTAATCAAAATTAATTGGTCAATTATGTAAATTAAATGTAAAAGTAAATATATATATTGAAAGATTATTTACCATCTGTTACTTTCTTAGCCCATTCGAAATATTCTAAATATATAAATAAAATTTAAATATATATATATCTTAATAACATTATAATAATAAGTACTAACCGATTACTCTCTGTTTTGACCAATCAACTGGTACTTGGCGTGTTATGTCATTTAAATTATACAATTTATCTGCAAGTTTTACAAGTTTAGCCTAGAAATAAAATTAACACAATGTAGTAATTATTAGTGTCTAACACAATTTTTGCAGTTACTACAAGCTATTGCTATTGATATTTTTAATATACCTTGTCTGACTTATTAGGAGTGGTTACGATTTGCAGACGTTTCCTTTCCCATCTTGGTAAAGCCTCATCATCTGTACACTCTTCTACTATGTATGCAACCTCTTTTCCAAATTTCTTTTCTAGCTAATCATAATCAAAATTAATGTGAATTCGTAATAATTGTAATTATATGTGTGTATACACGCAGTAATCAATTGTTTAAAATACTTGATAATAACCGACTTATCAAGTTAAGAAAAACTTCATTATATTGTAATCGTAACCACCTCATCAAATGTTGTATTAGTATCTTCAACAGTATCATGCTAATTAATATACAAACATTTATGAAAAAATAAAATAATCAATTATCTTCAATGAAAAACAATGAATAATTTGAAATAAAAAAGAATTACCAAAGCAGCAGCTTGTAATGTAGCAATATCATAAACACCAGCGTCTGCAAGATTCTTCACTACACCAATTGGATGATTTATATATGCTAAATTGTAATTAAAGAATCATTAGTTAAGAATAATTAATAATTATTAATTATTATATTATTATTAATATTAATAAATAAAATTTTACGTGTTCCGTCCAAATCTTTTCTTTTTTGTTTTGAATGCTTAATTGCAGCAAAGTCAATAGCATCTATTAAACCTTTTAGTGCAATATCAGGTTGTGTTGTTGGAATCGGGTTGTTCGACATTTTTTAAATTTAAAAAAAAGTTTATAAAGCTGATTTTCCTAGTTTGGGTGTCGATCACTTAAACATCAATGCTGGCGATTTTTTGGTTATTATTATTATTATTATTATTATTATTATATGAATGCGAAGGCAAGTGAGTACCGTACTAAAAAAACAAGTTTAATATAGCAAATCATATATTCCTGTCACTCCCCCCAGTAAGATACTCACCTTATAAGTATAAAGTGAGTACCGTATTAAAAAGTACAGTACGCATTTTCTGCATGTAATTTTTTTTTTTAATACGGCTTTCAATATGGTATGCAATTTCTACATACCGCGATTTTTTTATTTCAAATCATAATGTAAATGAATCTGGATTAGAGATTGAAGTCAATCTATGAAAATATTGAATCTAATGATGGCTGGAATTTGTTTTTAAATATGGAGTTAGTTAGAATCAGCACTTTCAAAATTAATTAAAACTGGCAACAAGAGTGTTACTTTGGAATTTAAGAGTAGACCTCTGATGTAGCAGCAAAGGCTTTAGACAAAAACAAAGAAATGTTGCTAAAGGAACAGCTAAAATAACAACTTCTTTCCAGATTAAAAAAAAATTAATTAATATAACTCTATTATTAATCAAACAAAATAATTTGTACTCAAATGATGACTTGAAGAAAATAGATCTAATTTTTTACTAGAAACTCTTTGAAGTATACTTGTAACAAAAGAAGAAAAATGGTATTAGATTACAATATGTTGCATGTATCTTGGTCTTTATCTTGTAAGAAATGGATATTCAAAACTTTCAGCAAATCTGAATCAATCAATCAACTGTGGTCCTTGAATGGCCAGATCAAGCCAGCATGTATCAGGTGGGTGCTCAATGCCATCAGATTCATCATGAATTGTTAAACGAATCTTTAAGAGTTTTCTCATTAATTTTAATGGATTTGAAAATAATAGTGTAAATTTGTTGTTGTGCAATCATCCAAAATATCAGAATAATCATATAATGTTGAGACTTCCAAGCTTTGAAAATTCTTCTCATAATAAATTATTGATTTTGAATGAGCCACTTGCATGAAATCAACTGATGAAATTAAACCTCCATCATATATATAAAGATGATACTGTACTTTTATTAGTTGAGCAAGAACATGAACTACTTACTTTACAACTATCTGAAGATTCTATTATTAAAGCTTGAATATTTCTATCAGACTGAGTGCATAACCCTAATGGGCTACTTGACTAAATTATTAGTCAAATTAATGTGTTAAATCAATTTCAAAACATTACTAAATTAGTATTTTACCCCTCCAAAATTCATCCGCCAATTTGAATTCCCATGAGAATATTCGACATCCGCAAAAATTAAACAGACTATTTTAAAACATATTTATTTATTTATTTATCATGTCAGTCAACAATTTGACTGATTAAAGAAACATAGAAATCATTTTTGTTGAATAGAAATCAGTGAATAATTTATTAATTGAATATTAATTTCGGATATTTTAATTTTGGCGGATGTCGAATATTCTCATGGGAATTCAAATTGGCGGAAAACTACACGATTATCTTTATGCCGGTAATTTGTTAATTTACAGCTTTTAGAAGCATTTTCTGGATCATTATTACATAAAGGTTTTGAAATAAAATGTTACTATTATTGTTATATATTTTTATATGAAATTATTCACATACATACATACAAATGTATATATATATATATGTATATATCCCTAATTATTATTATCATTATCAATAGATGGATATTCTTGGGCGGTGATGATGTTTTTACAAAGAGCTGCTATGCACAAAAAAAGATTTAAAGTTTGTGACTGAATCTAAGCCTTATTCTTCAGGGTAAAAAACGAATTAATAATTTTTTATCTTGGAGAAATTTTAAATTACCAATAAATAAATGATTGATTGATTGATTAGAATCAGGACAACTAAGATATTGAGAAAGTATGGTATTCCAGCAATATAATGATTGACACAGCCGTTGGGTATATTATTGATAAAGTGAATGCTGTTTTTGTTGATGCTGAGGGAGTTGTAGATTAATTAATGCAGTAAATAATATTTTATAATTAATTATATTATTATAGGTGTCAATATATTTATGTTAAATATCAATGTATATTATGATATTATGTGGTGTAGATTGGCACTTAACAATTAGCAATAGTAGCCAAAGCTGCTAATAAACCATTTTATACAGTAATTGAAAGGTAACAATTTAAATTTATTATTTGTGGTATTTTTATTAATTTTGTCTCTTTTTCCCTTTATCCTTTTCCTCAACCTTTTCTTACTTTACTTCTCTTCACCACCTTCCCTCTTTCTAGCTATAAATTTGTTTGAATATTTCCACTTAATCAACACAACCTATCAACTCATATGCCAGATTTACTAACATTTCCAGATTTGGAAAACAAAATCCATGTAGAAAAAATAGATGAAGAAAAAGAAATTGAAAATTTTGTAGTTATTAATCCAACAGTAGATTATACACCACCTGAATGTATACTTTGTTGTGTACAGATCTTGGTGTTTTGACACCTTCTGATGTCAGTGATGAATTAATTAAATTGTATTAATAACAATAGTAATAGTAATATTGGTTTATTGGTTTGCAGCTTGTTTTGAACAAAAAAGAAGAGAGATTTATATTATATTTATAGTATTTATATATTAGAAAGGTAGTGATGGTTTGTTCTTTTCTTTTTCTAATCGTTTTTCCTAGTAATAACAATGATGATGATTTTTACATGTAAATATACACCCCATACATAAAAATGCAAATTTATAACTTTGTACAATTTACCTTTCTCCAGGTCTCAATTACTTTTGGCATTTCTTCTAACGATTTCTGAATTTTCTGACGCCTATAATAATAATAATAATAATAATAATAATAATAATAAATAATTCACCCTATCCATCAAATCTTTCCCCATCAAAAAATTTTCTCCAAAACAATACCTTTTAGGAGCATCTCTTTCATATTTAGGACGTTTAGGTTTTTTAAGTCTAGGTGGTCGTTTCTCGGGTTTAATAGGCAAGCCAATACTGGTAGGATCCCTTTGTAGATAGTCTAAATTCTTTCGCATTACATTCAACATTCGTAAACTAACTTTTGGTTTCTTGTAAATTGGTTTGCCATACATGTTATAACCTTTAAAAGTTGGTCGGAAATCACTTGGTTGGTATCTTTTTTTCAATTGAGCAAGTGCTCTATCTGATATTCTTTTTATTGCAGACATTATTTTAAATTTGAAAAAAGATTTTGCATTGATAAATGAGCAATCTACATAAATTTTAGCCAAATTGGGATCAATATTTATTCACCACATCAATTCGTCTAAACAAGAGAGAAAGAAAGGGTCTGATCATTTTTTTCAATTTTGTGAATAGAATTGGTGGCAATTAAAATAAATCTACTTCCTTTATTAAATAAATAATTCAGTAATTTTTTTAGCATCGGGGGTTTGATTTTTAAAACAGATAATAGGAAATTCTCCTGCTTTGATAAGTTTTTTTATCATTATAAATCTTTGAAACCAATCAGATTCTTTGATACTTTGTTTTGCTCTTTTGAAATATCTGCAACGTAACATCACGCCCGCACTGAATTTCAAAACCATGATTATTATTATACCGATTTGATTTTGAGACATAGGAGGCTGGAGAACAGTTGAATCTTTGTCAACTTTATCGATTCCTTTGAACACTATTTTAATCAATAAATGATAATATCTTGAATAATTTTTAAAAAAAAACCGGAAAATTACTGTTGTCAAAAAACTTTTTATAATATTACTAAATATTCATCAACTTTACTCAAATAAATTTTCAAACAAAGCTTTTCTTTTTTAAATCATTTTCTAACTGAATCTGGCAATTAGCTGTTGAGTAATTTGCTTTTAAAATTCACAATATGGTTGGATTTTACTTGCTTTTTTGCAATTATGTTATTAGAATAAATGAGATACATTTATCTAATAAATATACCAGATTGCTAACACTCAATTATCAAATAACTATTTCATATTAAAAAGTTGTATGAAGCTGGCGATGTGACTTATAGGAGAGAGTTAACCGCTCGAAGAAGCGGAATCACCTTTTGAATCACGTGACATATCGCAATTTAATTAAAATTTTGGTAATCAATTATAAATAATGTGATAGAAGTTAAAATTTAAAAGATGTGAGACGATTCATCATTGAAAAGTGGAATACAACTCCTGATTTATTCTAATTAATTTACTTTGATAAAAAAATCAAGATGTCAGTCTGTAATTAAAAATCAACAGTGAAAGTATTTCGTATTAAAATATATTTAATAAAAATTCTGCCCTTAACCTATCGAATGGAAATATTTTCTATATGAATTAATGCAGTAGTTGTTCCATGATGATTAATTTGATTTTCTGCAACACACTGTATGTTGAACATTTGATATTGGATATATGCGTGCTTTCCACGGCTACCATATTTTTTTTTTGGAAAAAGAAAAAATTTAATTAATGCAATATTATAAAAAATCATTATCAGTTATTATATAAATTTAATTATAATAAATAAATATATTCATACTCCATTTAATATGTTTTAAATAATTTAAATAATTTGATGATTTTCAAATAATAGTTGTTCCAAAAACCTTATGTCTGCTCATTAACCGCAAAAAGAACAAGATTAAAATTGTTAAAATTTTACTAAATATGGGAATGATGTTTGATCCATAACCAACTAACTAAAGGTTTTCACAGTTAATTAACCGGCTAAAGAATTTCTATACGGTGCCAACCTCTAGGAAAAATGGTTGGAAACTATTATATTGATAATAAAGAATTCATATCCAACTACATTGGATGTTTACCATCCTAAATCATTTGAATATTTTCATATCATTTTTAATATTTGAAAGTTTTAAAAAGATATGTTGATAAAAAATTTTGTAAAAATCATAATTATTAATAAATTCCTATGATAATTTTTATAAATTTTGTTTTTAAGTCAATGAAATCAAATTCATAATGTGATAAAGCAAGATTAACATGGATTTATTTATACTTTGACAGTTAGGCCTCTCAATTTAAAATTGGAGGAGGGTGATAAGGAAGGGCTCAATTCTAATATTGTAACCAAATAAATTTATTCATATTAACATGCTAAAATTGGATACATATTGAATAAAGCAAAGAAAAATTAAAATTTGTTTATCCCCACTCCACCATCTATAAAAAAGATTTGATGTGCATAAACCCTCCAATTAAACCAAAAAATCGTCTTTATTATCATTAACAATCCAATTAAAAACTGCAAAAGAGATAACAACTGACATTGTGAAAATCATTATTGGAGGCCAGTAAAGTAATCCAAAGACAAGAAAATGGCATCCTGCAAAAAACGCTACGCTTCCAAGAATAATTAACATAATGCCCACCACAAAAGTTAGAAAAAACAAGATAATTGTTAAAAGCATGACATTTAATATTGCCTCTTCCACTGTAAAATTTCTAACCCAATCAAAAAAAAGTGGAAGTTCTTTGCTAATCTGATTTGCTGGATATGAAATGAATTCTTCAAATGTTTTGGTTGCTTGGTCAATAGTTTCTTTGTCGGTTATTTGAGCTCTTTCACCGATTTTAGATGTTGCTAAATCACTGGTTTTTGCTCCTTCAAACTCTTCAATCATTTTTTTCACCAAACGAGAATATTCTACATATCCATCATTGTATTCGTTTTTTTGATATTGATTTTCATTTTCATCACTTTCTCCAACACATTTTAATTCGTAATTATCTGCCATTTCTAATTAAAATTTTTTTGTTTGTAGATAAAATAATTTACTTTATATATATATATATAATTATATAATCATAAAAATGATATCATCATCATTCCAATTTAATTAATCAATCTTTAAAATATATTAACTATTATAAAATTTCAAGATCTTTTAAGTTCTTTTCAATATAAAAAAATATCATATAATGACATACTTTATGTATCCAATTTATTTTAGTGAATGAACAAAAGGAAAAAGAATAATTATTCAAATTTATCCCATTTAAGTACATAAAGTATGTATTTATTATTATAAATATATATTGAATTAAAAAAAACAAATAATTTTTAAATAGAAAAAGATACACTTGTAAAGGATTTTTTTAAAAAAAAAAAAAGGCAAGGTAAATATTGGATTTTTGATTTTTACCATTCAGAAAAAACCATCACCAGAGATTGAAGACAAAGAATATGAGGTATAAAATGGTTGTTAGAAAATGTTTCCTTTTCGGTCCTATTTACAGCATATTCAACCCAACAAATGGACATCTATTATGTTGAAACAAAACTTGTAAAGGAAAAAAATCAAGATCATGAACTTTTTGATGGCTCAAGAAGTTGCAATATTTATATTTTATGCGAGCCATTCGGACCCATTATCAAAAATGGATACAAAGGACTGCTTTGAGATGATAGCTTGAAACACTGCTGTTCAAATTAATCTCCCTAAAGATATCTTCATTGATTGCTCAGCAGGTCAGGGTTGACAATAGACCCAGTCCCGGTCACGTTTACTTAGTCGAAAATCATTTCGTCGACACCCATTTCGTCGAAAGTTTGTTTCATCGAAAGTTCATTTCGTCGAAAATTATTTCATCCTCGAGCCAGAGACCGAACGAGTTAGATGTGAGGAGTGTGGGAAGCTAGTTAAGAAATTAGGTGAGGAAAGCGGAGTGTGTGGGAAGTGTGAGAAGAAATTTGTTTTTTTTTTGTGACGAAATGAACATTCGACGAAATGAACTTTCGATGAAACAAACTTTCGACGAAACAAACTTTCGACAAAATGGGTGTCGACGAAATGACTGTCGACGAAATGATTGTCGATGAAATGAATCAGACCCGTTTCTTGGCGGGACACCTCAAGTACCATATTTCTTTATTTCTTTTCATGTTATATAGATATTGCATGCAGCTTGGAGGAAACAAAAGACACTCACAACAACCAAAAATTATCTGCAATAATTAACATGTGCAGTTGAGGGATAAAACAGAGGATATCTACCAGAAATCATCTGCAATAGAATAGTATTTAGTAGCTAATACTAAGAATAACAAGAAAGCAGTTAGTGGCTAATACTAATAAAAGGAAAAGTCAAGATCTCAGAAAAGCATATATTATTGGACATAAGGTTGCTTGCCAAAACCTCTTAATGACTACTGAAACTCTAATAACAATTAGTGTGTAATCTGCTGAACTCTAATAAACAATTAGTGTGTAACTCTGCCAATTGGAGTTTTGGCAACCATAATTGGACACTAGAAAGAAAGACTAGTGCTATAGAAATACCTATTTTATCAAAAACTCAGATCACATGCTCACAGTGGAGACTGTAGTTAGCCACAATTCAATTTTCTTATGTTTGCAACTGCAATTCAATTTTTATATGCCACAATTAGCAATTAATTGATGAACCACCTTCAATGTCATCATTTTCTTTTTGAATTTTCTAGCCTTCTTGGTATTGTAAAAGCTCAAGGGGCTGATAAGGGCAATCTCATGAATAAGGTTGCTTGCCGAAACTCATCCAGAAATCAATCAGCAGGGTTTCAGCAGGTTACACATTAATCATTTATTAGAGTTTTGGCAGAGTTTCGCATTTTGAGGTTTTGCCATTTCGGCATAGTTTCAACAGGATTTTTGATAAGAATTAATATAGTTTTGCCATGGTTTCAGCAATTACTAAGGAGGTTTTGCCCACAACCTTACTCATGAATTCAATCTATTGAAAACTGAAAACCAGAAATTTCCACTATTATAAAAGATATTAAAGTTTTATCATTTCTCATATTGACACCTACTCCTATAAATTACAAGTGTTAAGAGTATATTTACACTCATTTGTCAGAGATGAATTCAAAGGTATTACTTGTCCAAAACCAGGTAATACTGACAATTAATTTATGTTTTTTTTCTAGATTCTCTATGGTCTTGACTTATTGATTATGATTTACTTCCTTCTATGGGTTCTTTTTTATCCTTGAATAGTTTTGTTTATACATGCAGCCCAAAACTGTCATAAAGGGGGTTACACATGTCGTAAAGGGGTGTTACACTTATGTTTTTAATGGTGAGTGCCGTGATTGATTTCTACTTTCTATGGTGCGTATCACCTATACTCATCAAAAAATGCCGATCAGTCCGAATTTTTGAATGTATATCTTAACCTTATTTGGTCAAAAAAAAATACTATCACATGGGTTTTTAACAGTGTAAAAGCTAATTTTACTCATAATAAAGAATACAATCAATTAATTCTAATTTTGTTCAATTCTTCTATTTCTCCATCTGTAATTCTCCTATGGGATTTATATTTTTTGACAGCATATTCTGCCAATTTACCATTAATTCCTTTTCTGTATAGATCCATATAGCGCCAGCACTTTCTTGAAAATCTTCTAATTGTAATTAAAGGTACTGATTCAAGGCTCTCAGGCACTGCTTTTTGTAATCCTTGCCAAGAATAATCACAATTTTCATGCAAATGTCTTTTGGCAGCACCCCAATATCTCTCAATAAAGTTTAGCTCACAATGGAACTTGGGGAAAAAAATACATTTATGACCTGCATTTTCAATTAATTCTTCAACTGCTCCCCTTTGTGCAAGAAAATCAGGTTCCAAGGACATTACTTGACAAGCACAACAAGAAACTCTTGAAAGATCATTATTCTTTTCTTTACAATCTTTGCATTCTAATACTAGTCCTTCAGTTGGCCATTTTCCTCATTCCTCTAACACTTGTTTAATTCCTTTAGGTTTTCCTCGAAGTTTCTCATCAGGATGTGTTTCTGGAAAGGTCATTGATTGTAATTGTTTATTTGGTCCAAAATAAGTGTCTCGCA